GAGTTCATTGGAGGTGTACCTGTGGATGTATTTCAAGGCCTACCATCAAACTTAGCCCTGACCTCAATCCTATAGAAAATCTGTGGCCAGAACTGAAAAAGTGTGCGCGAGCAAGGAGGCCTACAAACCTGACTCAGTTACACCAGCTCTGTCAGGAGGAATGGGCCAAAATTCACTCAATTTATTGTGGGAAGCTTGTGGGAAACGTTTGACCCAAGTTAAACAATGTAAAGGCATGCTACCAAATACTAATTGAGTGTATGTAAACTTCTGACCCACTGGGAATGTGATGAAAGAAATAAAAGCTGAAATAAATCATTCTCTCTACTATTATTCTGACATTTCACATTCTTAAAATAAAGTGGTGATCCTAACTGACCTAAGACAGGGATTTTTTACTAGGATTAAATGTCAGGAATTGTGAAAAACTGAGTTTAAATGTATTTGGCTAAGGTGTATGTAAACTTCCGACTTCAACTGTATATGGCTAGTTTTACAATTCAAATAACAAGGTATTGATTTGAGTTGTATTTTGGCAGAGGGCAACAGAATACAGAGTTGGGCAGAGACATGGGGCTGTATAATGGACTGCATGAACAATGAGCATACTACCCAACGTCATGCATTTATGTTACATTATCATACGGTTTATGACGAATGTCCAACATACCTGTCCTGTCCACCTTCACATTTATCTTGACTACATGTTCAATTGGTTCTCATTGCAGGTGTACCATTCACTCCCAGTCAGAAGAATCCCAGAGGGGGGAAGCGACCAGTTGGAAATGTGAGGATGGTGACATCTACTGGTCACATGGGATTCTTAAGGGCACATGGGATTTCTCCTTAGATAGCCAATTTTTACTTTGCAGCTGGCCTATGTAGAAAATAGAAGGAAGGGAAGCGCTGCTAGGGTCCACAATAGCATGTATTTGTAGATAGAAGGTCTTTGGTAAAAGGGGTACATTTGTCATAAAAAGAAAGGAGAACCAAGGTGCTCTTCATATAATTAATTAAAATATATTCATTTTTATGGCATGTTCAATGGAACAAAGATTCGAAAACTCTGACACGTTTCGGCTGTATGGCCTACGTAAGGGAGCACAAAGATCGGATGATACTGTGCAACAGAGGCGCAACTTTAACTGGGGACATTCAGAAATTCAAATATCATTGGAATGTGATACAAAACGAAATGCACATCAAGGTCAGACGCATTAGAACCACTAGAAAAAAACAAAATAGTTATAGCCTTGAATAGAAGTGGGCAAAATGGTGTTTATGTTACAGAAACGAAGTCCCTCGAGAGTAAGAGAGACAATAATGCTAGAAGTGAATCTAAGCATGAAAGGTATCTAGTCTTTAAAAGCTGTTATTACAGGCACGAGTCCTATTAACGTGTTACTTTGGAAAGCCTCACTGGGAGAGCCTCGAGGGACCAGAGTGTATAGAAATGTAATCTGCTCCAGAACATATCTGAACAACTATTAAACGTGTGTTAGCGAAAGAGATGGAAAAGAAAAAAAGACCGCAATGACTTTGAAGCTTCCATTTGATCATCCACCAAGGTAGCCAGAGTTGTTATAGGCCAGAGATCACATTTACACACACGTCAGACTCGGTGTTTATCGTATTGTAGCTCTACAATAAAACATGAAAGATATCCACAGCGGGCTGAAAATCTAGGCCCATGCTTCAGTCTATACATTACATCATGCATTACATTATGGATTCCTTATGGCAGCAAGTTTAGAAATGTTTGATGACAAGAACGTTGTCACCTCTGAGAATTATTATGGGGTAATCAGTGGCTTTGACAGTGAATATGTGTATGTCTCTATGAGTGTTGATTGAACATCTGAAGATGGTCTCATTTGATTTGAATGGATTCGATTGTTTGATTGCTTGATTTTATTTCAGTGTCATACAAACATTTAGTGCCCAGCCCATAGGGCTAATAAGACACTATTCATCAAGTACTTGTGCAACAAAACAAAATTATAAGTCATAATCGTAGCATGTACAATTACCACATTGTCCCATTATAATGATAAGGTTGCTTTATACAAACAAACAAACAATACCTTGCTCCTTCTCCCCCAGGCATTGAAAATAAATTGGCCAATATCGAATACGCCCTTTCTGAAAAGGAATTCTAGCTTGTGTTTGTGATGTTGCCAGAACACTTCAGGGTGAGCATAAAAAATTTACAAAAAATAACATGTCTCAACAATGTACTTAGCTTTGAAAACAATGACAAAAGTATAGTTATTATGATATGGCCATGACTTGATAGGAGTGTTCTGTGCTGTTATGGTTTTTCTCATTGTTTCCAATGCCAGCTGTGATCTCAGAGCATTGTTCTTTATTTGCATGTGACGGTAGATCTAAGTTTACATCTCTAACACACCACTCTGTAACACCCAGGGCTATGACCATGAGATAATACCTTGTCAGCTGGCCAAACCTGTTTAATGCCACTCAATTCTGGGGTACTCTTAGAAAACAGTGGGTATCACATAACCACCCAGTTAAATGGAACATAGCTGACCCCCTCAGCTTTAGGGAACGGCATTCCCTAAATTAGTGTTTGGACTTATCTGGGGATCTAGAACATGACACTCTTCATCTTCTTTGATTTGGGAATCTCAGGCATCAACCTCGTCAGTCATTCTCACTGCTTCTAGACTAGAGGAGCCTCCACTGTCCCACCACGTATAGGAGTCAAAGGCCTCCTTTTGTGCACAAATAACAAATTATGATTGAAATGACGTCAGAGTTCTCTAAAGAGCTAGACTATTTGTTTTGATCAAATGGTGCAATTAGCAAAAATATCTATTTTGTAACACTTTATTTTACCGTAGGCCTACATTTTCCATTAGTATTGATCTATCAATTTAATATCAATATGAAAAGGCAGTCACATGTAGGCTACATAGTATACACGATATATACAAAGGTATGTGGACACTCCTTCAAATTAGTGGATTCGGCTATTTCAGCCACACCCGTTGCTGACAGGTGTATAAAATCAAGCACACCGCCATGCAATCTCCATAGACAAACATTGGCAGTAGAATAGCCTTACTGAAGAGCTCAGTGACTTTCAACGTGGCACTGTCATAGGATGCCATCTTTCCAACAAGTCAGTTTGTCTAATTTCTGCCCTGCTAGAGCTGCCCCGGTCGACTGTAAGTGCTGTTATTGTTTGGGTGACAATGCCCCCGTGCACAAAGCGAGGTCCATACAGAAATAGTTTGTTGAGGTTGGTGTGGAAGAACTTGACTGGCCTGCACAGAGCCCTGACCTCAACTCCATCGGAACACCTTTGGGATGAATTGGAACGCCGACTGCAAGCCAGGCCTAATCGCACAACATCAGTGCCCGATCTCACTAATGCTCTTGTGGCTGAATTGAAGCAAGTCCCCGCAGCAATTTTCCAACATCTAGTGGAAAGCCTTCCCAGAAGAGTGGAGGCTGTTATAGCAGCAAAGGGGGGAGCAAGTCCATATTAATGCCCATGATTTTGGAATGAGATGTTCAACGACCAGATGTCCACATACTTTTGGTCATGTAGTGTACTTGGTGACATACTAGGTAGGCCTACTTTTCTTACTTCAAAGAATTTAACTCAATTGGTAACTATCTTGGTAGCTTACCAAATTAAATGTATTTTATAAAGCCCTTTTTACATCAGCAGTTGTCACAAAATGCTATACAGATACCCAGTGTAAAACCCCAAAGAGATAGCAATGCAGATGCAGAAGCAAATGGTGCCTGTAGTGCTGTATTTAATTAATTCCTAAGAAACAAATAATATATTAATTGGTTATTACTGTGTAATGACCATTTACTATGTAATTTCTCAGTGAATACTTGATGATTTCTGTACAGTAAAAATCAAGTTCCACCATTCGTTTTGATATCAAAGGTTGACCTACTGATAATAGTAATTTGATGGTCTGTGTGATGTTATAATGCTTGAAATATAACACTTTTTTCCAAATATGCCTGTTCAGTAGCCATGAAAAGTGCCCTCTCCCTCCCGTTCCTGTGACGTTGCAGGGGGGCGTTTCCCCAACTTTTCAACGCATCTATTTGAATTGGTCAATTTTACCCATGTGATGTAAAGGCACCAATCAGTGCTAAGAGCGATAAAAAAAACAAAAAACATCCAAATTCGGAGCTCTGAAAATGATGACGTTCTACATGAATTGCTGGCTGGGAGTGGAAGTGGAACTATTTAGCCTGAATGTCGGGCAATAAACTGAAGGATACATGAATAACATTGCATAAGAAAGCAATAAGAAGGTATTTGAATGAATGACTAATCGAAACGATATAGCAGTCTAACCTATTGATGCCAATTACCTAACCAGAGAAGGCGATAGTGAATAAGAGGAATACAGCGATATAACGGACTGAAGCCAAAAGTGCGATTGAAGCCATTTTCTCCTGTAAGTATTATCTTGTTTTATTTAGTCTACTTTGTTTACTTATTATTGATATTGGAATACAGTAGTCCTAGTGCATGATGCAATATATTAGATCATAATGTCGTATTTCAATTTGATAATGGAAAGTTCTGGAAGAACTGAAAGAATGTGAGTTGAATCAGCCTGCCCTACATGCTGGGTCATGTAATTCTCATAGCTATTTAATGACTATTTTTGTTACTTGAAAAGTATCCAATTTTGTGTACTGTGTGACCAAGACTAATCTACTTTCTGCTACATTTCAGCAAGACTCCCTCCCCAAAGTTACACACAGCCTAGTTCAGCACTACATTCCAACTAAATTTAGCCTATCTAGGGACCCCAGCCCCTCCCAATAGGGTCTAATAATGAACAGTATATGGATGGAATAGTCAAGCTGTAGCTTAGTCGTATTGCTTGCATTATTCATAATTGCTGGCATACCTAAGGAATTACACACACCCTTCTGTTCCCAACACTCAGCGTTGACCCCCAAGCAGAAGAGGAGTGTGGTAACGTGACATCATGAACGTGGGCACGGCACACAGCGAGGTGAACCCCAACACGCGGGTAATGAACAGCCGGGGCATCTGGCTCTCCTACCTGCTGGGCATCGGCCTGCTGCATGTCATCCTGCTCAGCATCCCCTTTGCCAGCGTGCCCGTGGTCTGGACCCTCACCAACCTCATACACAACCTGGTGGGTAGTGCGCACCTTAGTAGGCTATGCCTAGGGGCACCAGTGCATCTCACTCACCCACTGTATAACATAAGTGCTGTAGGTGGATGGTCCAGTCACTGTTATTGCACACAATGGTAGTCTCCATAAGCAAACTACTCTGCAGTCTGCACTGTCATTAGGAGTGGGCTGAGTGAAAGTGAATCAAATCAATAGTCCATGGGGCAGTCTTGAGCATTTGCCCCAGTTTGTGGCATTTTCATTGCTATAAAATTCACAGAACAGATCAGTTTCCACATCCTTTTTCAAAATGAATCGTTTTGCGGTTCTAGGCTACTGAACATTTCACAGTATCACTTTTGCCCATACTGTTTTCTATATACCAGCTAAAGCTTTCCTGACCGACTATTCTGTGCTGTGTGTGTTGCAGTGCATGTACCTGTTGTTACACTTGGTGAAAGGAACCCCGTTTGAGACTCCGGACCAGAGCAAGGCTCGCTTCTACACATACTGGGAGCAGATGGACTATGGTGTCCAGTTCACTGCCTCACGCAAGTTCCTCACCATCACCCCCATTGTCCTGTAAGGACCTTTACACTACCTTATGCTTTATAGACAATTTATAAAATATTAGTCTATTTACCTCTTATAATCCTTTATAAAGTATCATTTAATGCAACAGGTTACATTGGTATTTTAGTAGTAATAGGACTGTGGGCCTCCCGAGTGGCGCAGCGGTCTAAGGCACTGCATCGCAGTGCTAGAGGCTTCACTACAGTTCGATCCCAGGCTGTGTCGCAGCCGGCCGCGACCTGAAGACCCATGAGGCGGCGCACAATTGGCCCAGCGTCGTCCGGGTTAGGAGAGGGTTTGGCCGGCAGGGATGTCCTTGTCCCATCGCGCTCTAGCGACTCCTTGTGGCGGGCCGGGAGCATGCACGCTGACTTCGGTCGCCAGTTGTACAGTGTTTCCTCCGACACATTGGTGCGGCTGGCTTCCGGGTTAAGCGAGCAGTGTGTCAAGAAACAGTGCGGCTTGGCAGGGTCGTGTTTCGGAGGACGCATGGCTCTCGACCTTCGCCTCTCCCGAGTCTGTAGGGGAGTTGCAGTGATGGTACAAGACTGTAACTACCAATTGGATATCACGAAATTGGGGAGAAAAAGGGGTAAAAAGTACACAAAAAATAAATAAATAAAAGTAATAGGACTGTGACGTGAAGCATTAGCCTATTTTTTAAGTACTGTTTGTTTCCCCACTGTCCTTGTTAATGACTTCAGCAGCCTCATCCAGCCAGTCTGTGGGCAGTGGGGAGTATGGGCTGCAGTGGTGCCTGCTGTCAGCGGAAGGCTCTATTTAAAGACACTGCTGACAGATGCTTTGTCACTAATGCTTAGTCAATGAACCATGATGGATCTATTTGCAGATACGTCCTCTTCTGAATTTTTTGGGAGGATAAATTACATTTTTATTTTAGTCCTTGTCACTTTGATCTTCAAAAGTCCTCCACAACAGTTGACATGTTCACATGTGGCATTGTGAATTGGAAAGACATGTAACTGTCGACCAAAAAAACAGATACCTGTTCAGGGAGACCTTCACCCAGCTACAGTCTTTCTTTGACCTACCCTTTCTTTCTCTCCCTCATACATTCTCCCTCTCCCCATAGCTACATCCTCACCAGCTTCTACACCAAGTATGACCGGGCCCACTTTGTGTTCAATACGGTCTCCCTGATGACAGTGCTCATTCCCAAACTCCCCCAGCTTCACGGAGTCCGGATCTTTGGAATTAACAAGTACTGATGGGGCGGAAGAGGACACCGCCATTCCTCCATCTCCCTGTGGACTGTGAACACAGAGTATCAGGCCCCTCCGCATTGGCCCCCGGCCCATAGGGATCCATGGCCCCTCTCTGGCTCCCAGTGCTATTGAGCACTCTGCTAAATGAAACCTATGGACGATACTCAACACAGAATTGACTTAAAGAGCTCGGCTGGGTCCAAGCTCCTATGTGGTCCTATTGAAGCTGTGTTGTGGTGTTTATTTGTGGTTCCCTTTATGTCAGTTTTATTTAATTCACAGAGAACACTGCAAGTTAAGCCTTGGAGGACATACAGTAGTATGAGATGTATCGAGATTGAGTTACAATGTGGAGAGGAGAAACCTCTGAGCAGTTTGCTCCTGAGAAAAGTGAGACACTTTAGCATCTTGTCCTCACAAGGCTCATCCTCTCTGTCTCTCGAAAGGACAGACTGCTAGAGAAAGGGTTAGCTAGGGAGTTTGCTCTGACTGTCGCAGTGGTCAGACGGGAGGGACCGCAGGGTTTATATTTAGCCCCCCTGACCACTAACAGTCTAAGTTTGGAAAGTTTAAGGAACACTTATTTTATCTGATCATTCCATATTTGGATTGCCTTGTTCTGATTTGAACCAGAGTAGGACATAAAAGACTGTAGAAACATCAGGAAGTCAGCTCCAAGTGATTTCAATTTAAGAAATCTGTTCCCAAGTATTCCCACACGTAATAGAGAGACACATGATCATATATATATACAAATGTAAACAAGGTTTGAAATGATTATGTTTTAGTCAAACATTATATCTGTTTGGGCTTCTTGCGGTCAATTTGCAGTCTACAAATTATTTGTAATTGTGTTCCGGGCTCCCGACCATCCGCTCAAGAACAAATTGGCCCGCGGCTGAATCTAGTTGATGATCCCTGTTCTAAGTATTGCATATTCAACAATAATAGATTGTAGTGCATGGGTATGGGCTTAAAGACTTCCTTCTGCATGGAGAGACATACAAATTGTATCCATGAGTTTATCTGACTCTGGGTAAGTAGAAAATAGGGCTTGATTGCCAAAATCTCATACTATCCCTTCAGTTGATACAAAGGCTGTAAATGTGTTATGAAATCCTAAGAAATATTTTGTAATGTTGGTGTTTAATAAGGTACCGGGTACAGATAGATACCGGGAGTTTGCCACATACCATGTATTTCCGTACTTCGAGCAGAGTCATCATGTCAACAACAACAACAAGTGTTTTTAAAAAGGGGAAACTGAAACTGAGAACTACTCAGCACAACGTGTTGTATTTAGAACTCACACTCACAATTTACTCTGAGTGAAGAGAGGTTGTGATAATTGAGATGAATGTTCATTTGAAATGATTTTCCAGTGTCTTTCACACAGCTTTAGATAACCCAGTCAGTATTTGTGGCTATGAAAGGGAGAAAATAACTTAGTGTAACATTTTCATATCCACAAAATGCACTATAATCGAATATGAATGGCTTCAGTGGATTTTACTCAGTGCAGAGAAGATTAATTAATTACACTCATGATTGACAGGGTTTCAATTTACAACCATTGTAGAGATACTGCATATTGTTTTCTATTGGAAGTAAAAACCAAAGTATGTGAGTGGTATAGAGTATGTACGCCTTCCTAGTTTGTTAGCACAGTAAGTAGCAATGAACATGAGTGTTTTTCAATGTGTGTGAGGTCTGTTGTACAGTAGCAATGTGAAGTTTATGTGTGATCTGACTGGAACAGAGCACAGGACTTTATTCATTTGATTGTGTAACAACATTACAGTTTTATGAAATTGTAGGTACTCGCTTGATAGTGGTTAGGAAAAATATTGCTTAGGGTTTTTTTGGCACTTAAGTTCAGAAGGAGGATGGACTATTGTAAATACATTTTACAAAGTAAAACCTATAACGATGAGGGTTAAAGGTTTTGTGTTTTTGTTTTGTTAAGAGTAGGCCTACGTGGAAAAACGTATTTTTCTACGGTTACTACGGGCAAGCAAACAGTTTTTTCTTGTTAGTGAATACCTGTACATGATAGGCACTATTTAGTTCAACCACACAGAATAATATGCTTGTATTTGGTTTCAGTGAATGAGGGTCGTTTCAGTTGGTGTACCAATATTATTCAAATACATATAGTATACCTGAATACAGTTGGGAAATTCCTGAGAAATGTACAGTAGCAAGCGATATTAACATAACTTATGTTGGCGTTGCACCTTTATCAGTATTTTTTCATGGTGTATAAAAACCTATCCAGGCCTTGAGGTCCTCCTATCTTCAGAAGAACTCTGCTCACGTTTAAAGTTGAGCAGAAAAAATCCATTATGAAATTGGTAATTTTCTAAATGGTAATTTTAAGTAGTGTTTAGCTGAAAACATGCTAGTTTATGCATAGACAAATCTATTTGTTACATATGATAATAGTATAATGTTTAGGTTGGTTAAACAACAAAACAGTTGTGCCACAGAAATGCGTTGGCTAAGTTGCTGAGACATGGACGTTGCCAATTGGTTTAGAATCTAGACCTTGTCCGTATTAGCTAAGCCTTAATTATTAATAGCATACTATTTATATTAGTGTTGATTTTGAACACTTAGGCCTGTGCTGTCTTTCAACCCCTACTTGGAACAAAACTAGTCATACAACTCTAGATAGTAATCCATGGGTATTGCAACCCGAATCCAATTAGTGTTGTTTGGAACGTTAGAACCCAAAGCCAGCAGCTTGTTAAACATTGATTGAGGGGAGAGTAATAGTGATAGTGGTGAAAGTGAGTATTCAGGTGTCACTTAACCAGCCTTGCTAGCCACAGACTGGCACTAAACCTACAGCTGACAGATGTGTAACCTTACAGAAAAACCACATGATTTCACATTTCATGTGAAAACGTGTTTTTGGACCACTTAACATGTTTTCACACGTGTAGTTTCATGTAATCACATGTTGCTTTACATGTTGTCACATTATCACATTAACTTCACATAAGATCACATGAAAACGTGTTTTTTGAACACTTCGTGTGTTCACGTGTGAAATTCATGTGGTATGGGGTAGGCCTTTATTGTTCCAGAAGTAAGTGTCTCCCTTCATACAGTACAATCCATTTCAGTAGACTAAAGCGGTTGGCTAATCTATTAATATGTACGACAGTGACTTGTGTCCTGTTCATAGCATAATGTTTTCTATTTACAAATGCATTGTATAGCATTGTGAATTATAGCTGATGTTGTTGAATTAGATATATATTTTCCAGGTTGAGAGGCTACAGTTGTCACCTAAGGTGTTTTATGATCTAATTATACATTTCCAAAATGTTTGTCTTTGTATGACCTTTTCTCAATATTTTTAGATATAGTAGTGATAACCTACAATGACACATAGGAAAAGTAAGAGATGGATATGCACTTTACGTAGTTAAAGTAGATTTATTTTCTCTCTGGCAGCGAATATACAATAGTTTATTAATAATAGATTTGCGTTAGTACTTTGAACTCGTTAGATTTGTATAATATTAAGGAAATTCTGTTTATTCAGAATCCACTAAACAAAAATATGAATGCAACATGCAACAATTTAAAAGATTTTACTGAGTTACAATTCATATAAGGAAATCAGTTAATTGAAATAAATGAATTAGACCCTAATCTATGGATTTCACATGACTGGGCAGCCATGGGTGGGCCTGTGAGGGCATAGGCCCACCCACTGACGTCTCTCTTCCAGACAAGCTAAACACCTTCTTCGCCCGCTTTGAGGATAACACAGTGACTGAGTTTATCATGAAGTGTATAGGTGATGTTGTGCCCACTGTGACTATTAAAACCTACCCTAACCAGAAACCACTGTACTCATATCCTTCCATACCCTTGTCTGGACATAATGCCCTGAATCTATTCTACAACGCCCGGAAATCTGCCCCTTTTTTTCTCTGTACCCAACGCACTAGAAGACCAGTTCTTAAAGCCTTTAGCCGTATCCTTATTCTACTCCTCCTCTGTTCCTCTGGTGATGTAGAGGTTAACCCAGGCCCTGTTGCCCCAAGTATCACTCCTACTCCCCAGGCGTTATCATTTGTTGACTTCTGTAACCGTAAAAGCCTTGGTTTCTTGCACGTTAACATCAGAAGCCTCCTCCCTAAGTTTGAGTTATTCACTGTGTTAGCACACTCCGCCAACCCTGATGTTCTAGCAGTGTCTGAATCCTGGCTTAGGAAGGCCACCAAACATTCAGAAATGTCCATCCCCAACTACAACTTTTCCGTCTCGATAGAACTGCCAAAGGGGGTGGGGTTACAATCTACTGAAGAGAGAGCCTGCAGAGCTCTATCATACTATCCAGGTCTGTGCCCAAACAGTTTGAGCTTCTACTTCTAAAAATCCACCTTTCCAGAAATAAGTCTCTCACTGTTGCCACTTGCTACAGACCCCCCTCAGCCCCGAGCTGTGCCCTGGACACCATATGTGAACTGATTGCCCCCCATCTATCCTCAGAGTTCGTACTGCTTGGTGACCTAAACTGGGATATGCTTAACACCCCGGCCAACCTACAATCTAAACTAGATGCCCTCAATCTCACACAAATTATCAACGAACCTACCAGGTACAACCCTAAATCTGTAAACATGGGCACCCTCATAGATATCATCCTGACAAATGTACCCTCTAAATACACCTCCGCTGTCTTCAACCAGGATCTCAGCGATCACTGCCTTATTGCCTGCATCCATAATGGGTCCGCAGTCAAACAACCACCCCTCATCACTGTCAAACGCTCCCTAAAACACTTTAGCGAGCAGGCCTTTCTAATTGACCTGGCCCGGGTATCCTGGATGGATATTGACCTCATTCCGTCAGTAGAGGATGCCTAGTTGTTCTTTAAAAGTGCTTTCCTCTCAATCTTAAATAAGCATGCCCCATTCAAAAAATTCAGAACTAAGAACAGATATAGCCCCTGGTTCTCCTCAGACTTGACTGCCCTTTACCCTTTTTGTGCGTATGGAACAATTCTTGGATCTTTTATTTCAGCTCATGAAACATGGGACCAACACTTTACATGTTGCGTTTATATTTTTGTTCAGTATATTATTATGAATGTTTTCAGAACAGGTTTGTCTAGGCTTGTGTCTTTAACAAGATTACTTGATAGTTTTGTTAAACTATGACACAACATTTTTTTTTGTTTAATTTTATTTCACCTTTATTTAACCAGGTAAGCCAGTTGAGAACAAGTTCTCATTTACA